GTTCATGTTCGAGAATCTGGGCTAGCAATGGACAGGCACCGGTATTTATAGATTTCCTCTTTTTACTTATTAACTGTACTTATTACCTTATTATCAATCTTAATGAGTTTGTTCTTCTGGGCAGCATATAATAATTAAAAGCAAAAACAACAGTAATATCTTAAAAGTCCAAAGTTCAAGCCATCAATTATCTGGGGCTAAAGGCACGAAGAAATAAAACAGATTAAAAAAAATCAAGTTCAGGGAACAGGAACAAACCAGCCCCCACAATTTTTAGTGAGTGGAGTCCACGTTTTCTCTGTTGAGCTAAGTTTATTGTAATTGCACAGGGGGAAAATACAAGGTTCTGCCCAAAATAATAATATATGAGTTGATGGAAAATGGTCAGCTTACCTTTGCTGAGAATACTGTAGAACAATAAGATAAGTGAGTGGAAGGAATGAGTAGATGATGTAATTATGAAAGAAAATTAGAGAAGTTACGGTCACTTCTGTAAATAGATGTTTGTTGTATCTCCCTTTGGTCACATTCTGCAATTTTCACAATAAGGAGCTTATGGTCCATCCATTGAGAACGCTGGTTTTCCAATGCAGGGGAATCCATGAACACTTTCCTTCTGCATGTGAAGGGGACTGTGACAGACCAGCCAAAATCCTTTGATGGCTTGAAGGACCAAAACCGAATCAGGAGACAGGTGTAACCTTCAAGAGTTCAGTTCTGTGCACAAAGGAAAGTTGAACTCTTTTGAAAGGCTGCCAAAGTTTCCATAGATTTCAAGCCTATGACTAAAATCTGCAGCTCACCAAAGAATTAGCCAAATTTTTGGCTAATGGAACTGAAAAACTTAACCATTTGAGCTCCATATCTGGAGGAGATAAGAAATCTTTTGACAAGCAGCTCTTTCAATCAACCCCCAGAGACAGGGAGCCAAAATCCAAGCAGGGTGTTTTTACCCAAAGTGGAGAGGCAGTGGATAAGATAGGAATGTGGTGTACCACAGGAGGGTGGAGGAGGCCTGGCATAGGCACAGGATTGAGGGTGTCTCAACTCAGGAGCTGTAGATCCTGTTTGGATTTCAGCAGAGAGGAAGGGGAGCACAGTAAAGTAAATGCCCAGGTAGGCCTGGTATAGACTGGGCCAGAGTGTCTTTCCACTCTGGCACTGAAAATCCTGCTTGCATGGAGGATTTTCAGAGCTGGAGTGGAGAAGCAACAATGAGTGTGGAGTGACACAGAGGTGTGGGTGATAACCTAGTAGGCTTGGCACAGGCCTTGTAGGATTTGATTTTGGCAGGGATAATTTTCAACTCTTGTGTATATATATACACTCATATAGGTCTGCATCAGGAATCCCACGGTCTTCCCCACCACGCCAAGGCACCCCACACTCCTTACTTGGTACTCCATGTACTTAATGATCCATGAGATCACTCAAGAAGTACAACCAGAAGTTCCAGGATAGCGTTCATTGAGTGAAGCAACTGTGATGTTCTGCTTAATGATTACTATAGCAATAGCACTTAAGAGTTATATACTGTTCCATAGTGCTTTACACCACAGCATACTCTTGAGATGTTTATTGTCCTCAACAATATGCGTCCTCATTTTACTGACCATGGAAGGATGGAAGGCTGAGTCAACCATCTGCTTTTCTCATTGACCAACATTCCAATCCATTTATGATCGTACGTTGAGGTTTGGTATAGGGCTATAGGAAGCAGTCATTTATATGAAATACTATGGTTTGTTTGAGTGTATACATGGAGGGTCAATCAATTTCACAAATGGGTTTTTCTTATTTTACAGTCCATTAACTTTAATCAGTGTCATTAATTCAATTCATGTTTCATTTTGTGTCCTTACCCTTCTGTTTATTGGCATGTGTATAAATGCATATCTACCCATCAATTAACCCACTGCTGTACTCTTCATTGAAGGTTATGCATTGTAAGGTAGCATGTCGTCTAATGAAAGTTTGTACATGAATGTTTTTCAAGGTCTCAGTCTAGGACTGAGAAGTCATTTCTAGTCAGGACTAGAACCTAAGTCTCTCTGCTCCTAGTCCAACAACTTAACCACTACATTGGCACTCTCAAATACATACAGGCTCAAAAACTGTATATGCACAAGTACATGCTTGTTAGGGGAAGGAAATGCTAGTAAGATACCATGCAAGATTTTGATATGAATTTATATCTGATTTTCTGAATATTGATTGCTTACTGACTTATTTTATTTTGAGGTAAAGGTAGTTTAGCCATGAATGCGAATCACTTGTGAAAACATATTTTTCAAATATTCCTCAATGTTGATAGATACCTTGACTACCTCCAAGGAATATAACAAGTCAGAGGAAGAAAGTATAAAGAATATGTGGATCTGATACCTTAAAGTGAATTCCTTGTTGGACTAATTATACTGTGATGCAGGCATGTTTTTTTCTCAATTTATCACAAGCTTCCTGTAAGGAATGACTCTTTGCTCTCCATCATACATACCTAAGTTGCATAGCACAGGACCAAAATATTGGTGCCATGTTAATAAGGAGAACAATAGAAGATGTCGTTTTGTTAGCCTTCTGAAACTAAAATTGATCCTCCTGGCATATCAAGTAAAAATGACATTCAGATGAATGATGACAACTGTAGCATGGCTTTTTATATTCAAATAATAAAAGAGGCACCTTTATCTCTTGGAAGAGGCATCCAGCTATTGCAGTCAGTAAACCATTTGAATTTAAAAAGCCCTGGGGAAAAGCATACAGCTTTTAGATTGTGGAAACATAGATTTGTCTACCTTAAAACATGGTGACGATTGGGTTTGAAATGGTGTGGGGCAAAAATTGCAATTTGTACAGGGCCATAGTTCAGTGTACTCGGCTTGCATAAGGTTTCAGTTTGAACCTTGGAAAGGATCTCTATCTGAAAGTTTGTGTGGATGTTGATACTGACCTGGATAAATTAATAATAACATAAGGAAGGGGTGTCAAACTCAAGGCCCGTGAGCCAGATCTGGCCCATGGGGTGCTTAGATCTGGCTCACAGAGCTGCCCCTGGAAACAGCAAAGGACCGGCTCGCGGTGCCTCTGCCAGCGAAAACAGAGGTTGGCAGGGCGGCACGTGGCCCTCCCAGGCTCTTGTTTTCAGTCGTGACAGCCTCCTGCAGCCCTTTGCCAATTAAAATGGAGTCCGTTTTTCTGGCAGTCCTGAAGGAGGTTGTTGCAGCCAAAAACAGAGCCTTGCCTACCCCAGCCACACACACCCAGCCCCACGAGGTCAAACACAACCCTGATATGGCCCTCAATGAAATTGAGTTTGACACCCTGACATAATGCATTGTTGCATCTTGGATTGAATGTTATATAATTATTCAAATGGTTCATTTATTGGACATAGCCTGGACAGATGTAGGCACAAAGCTAACCTTAGTTAGAAAAAAAATACATGGTTTCCTTTAAACTATCAATTCTTGGTGACTTCATGGACACAACCATGCCATTCTCTTCGCAATAGTATAGAAACAGTTTGCTGCTGCTTCCTTCCAAAATGCTATCAACTCCCACATTTAACCTATAGCCCTGGAATCTCCCAGGATTTATCTAAGTCCTAACCAGACCTGATTCTGTTTGGCTTCAAAACCAAACATTGTGTGCCAACAGCAATGTAGCTTTGGATCAGTCAGTATCTGCACTTCATAAGATGAAAGACAAAACATGATGTACTTTGGCTTTACGTTTTTGAAGATGGTTGGATGAAAAAATAATTGAACATTCAAGTGTCAATATAAAATATACTCTCAAAAGCAGTAAAATTGAAGATTAGTGCAAATAACATACCAGTGGACCAGTGGACCAGTGGTGAAATTAATTTTTTTTTTACTACCAGTTCTGTGGACGTGGCTTGGTGGGTGTGGCAGGGGAAGGATATTGCAAAATCTCCATTCCCACCTGACTCCAGGGGAAGGATATTGGTTGGGGTCAAAGAGCTCAATAAATCACATTCTGGCGGGTGTCGCACATTGGCAGTTGTGACGCATATTTTGAATGATAGGGAGCCGCAGCAGAGGGATGAAAGAGCCACATGTGGCTCCAGAGCCATAGTTTGCTCACATCTGGCTTAAACAAAAAAAAAATCTGCAGGGATGGCTTATTTTTAAAAATATTTTTCTTTCATCTTTTCCTAATAGGTGCTCCCGGGCAGCCTCCATATGCATTTCCTACAGCTTATGGAGCTCCAGCAACCTATGGCCAACCTGCTGTTTGGATGCCAGAACCACCTTCTATTCCAAATTGCCCTCCTGGATTGGAATATTTAAGTCAGGTATCTTCCTCTCCTTCTACCTGATAAAGTATAATTCGAATGTCTTTAAAGTGTGTAAAAACAGTTATGCTTATCTTGGCAAAGAGTTTTAAATATGGAGACCATGGGTCCTTTATTATATAGGACAGTAATGCATTTTAGAAGGCTATCCTTTAGATTTATTTATTTTTCAAAAAATCTTATTTTGCCCTTTTTTGTTCATTTACTATACAAAACGTTCACCATTTAAGTCATGATTTTTCACAGTCATGTGTAAAATATGAAAACTGAACTGTACGTTTAAGATAAATCTACACATACCTTTTGATTTTAGATATTTTTATAAGGATATGAATTTTGGTAAAAAAAAAATCTTGATTTTTCCTTTATTTGTTCTTTCAAGGAAGAATGGTCACTGGAAGTATAAGCCATTCAGTCATTTAGTGTGGTGATGTTTGTGGTGATGGTGATGATGATATGATGATTTATTAAATTTATATGCTGCCCAATTCCTAAAAACTGTGGGAAGTCCATAAATGCTTAAAGATTAAAGAAAACAACACAACTCACAAAAGAACAAAGGTAGCAAAGATAACAAACCTGGATGGGAAAAAAGGAATAGAAGAGTGCTTCAAACATGCTTATCAAAATATTGGGCAAAGATCCAGGTCTTCAGGGCCCTTCAAAACATTAGCAGAGTGGGGGAATGTTTGACTCTCAAGTGGAACTTCTAGAGGATATCAGAATAATGCAGCCCAAATCCAAAGTTTTTAGATATGAGTTTTCCAAGCTCTGTATAAAGATGCTTAAATTTGATACCAGCCTAGCTATATTTAGAAAAACATGTGCCGGAACCTGAGAAGTCAAAGGTAGAACACGAGTGTTTCTGCACTTCATGGTACTGCAGGTAAAACACGTCCCGTTCATTTAGAAAGATGAAAAACACTGGTGTATAGGTTTAGAAGAATGGCCATAAAAAGACAATGTAATGAAAGGACAATTTTAGTTGATGGTATAGATGCTGCCAGAAGATTGGAATGGTATAGAGGACTTCTGTATAAAGTAGTCCCAGTTCTCTTTTTGTAGTTTGATTTGTGAAAGTTGTTGCTTCTACTACCATTGATAATTTGAAACCAAACAAAACTGGTGTGCTTTAGATGTGTCGGACCTACAACCTCTTAGTTTCCCAGTTGACAAATTGTTTGTACAGGTTGGATATTTTAGAGTGATGGTCCAGCTATCTGGAGGGGATCAGGACTGAAAGATGCTGAAATAAGATTCCTTTTTAATTCTGAAAAATTATCAAGGAGAAAATAACTAGCTTTGTTTCCATTTAAGGCACTTCTCTTACATAATGAGGTTGATAACCTACAGACTTGTTGCAGAATGAATTCATTGATTATAGCGTAGTTCTAATATTTTTTTAATTCTTTATAACAGATTGATCAGGTATTAATCCATCAGCAAATTGAACTTCTGGAAAGTAAGTATTTTATGCTACTTGGTATTCATGGCTTAGAAAAAATATCAGATGAATGTACACCGTATTTTTTGGAGTATAAGGCATTTTTTGCCTCCCGAAACCTCACCTCTTCACCAAAATGGCTGTGCATATCTTGTAGGAGGATTTCAGAGAGCTCCTGAGGGCGAGGGAGGGCAGAAATGAGCAGAAAATGCCCTGTTTTTTGCTCAGTTTTGCCCTCCAGCCCCCAGAAGCACTCTATAAGCTTCCTAATGCCCTTTTTTGGACACAAAATGGCCCAATTTTTGTGAAATTGGGCCAGTGTTTGCTCATTTTTGGCCCAACATTTACCCCTCAGGAACACTTTATAAGCGTTCTAAGGGCTTTTAAAAAGAGGGGGGGTCCTTTTCATGAAAAACAGGCCATTTTGGGGAGGTTTGCAGAGTGCAAAAACTTTTTTTTTAAATTTCCCTCCTCAAAACCTTGGTGCGTCTTATCCTCCGAAAAATATGTCATTTCTTTTACTAGCCTTTATATGTAAGAACAGAAATCTGTTAATAGTGCTATATTTTTCCTACATTTTCTATTTCGTAATGTAATAAAAATAGATACTTAAGCACAATATAATTCTTAACTTTGATTTGGATTATATTACTTATTATACGTGTTGCATTGTTGTGTTAGTTAGTTATTTTGAGTCCTTAATGACAAAAAGTATCTGATGATGACAGAAATACTATTTCTTATATTGTAATATTTTTCTGAAAGAGATATAGTTACACTGACCACTAGGAGATAGAACATGATGAGTTTCATCCTACAGAAAGTCCTCAACGTACAACCACAATTGGGAACAGAATTTCCATTGCTAAACAAAGCAATAGCAATAACACTTAGATTTATAACACCTAGGGACAAAAGTGTCGACTGCGATCTCAGAGCACTTTGCTCCTCCCCAGTCCTCTAATCATCTTTGTTGCACTTCTCTGCACTCTTTCTAGACTCTCCACATCTTTTCTACATCATGGCGACCAAAACTGAATGCAGCCTTACCAAGGCATTATAAAGTGGTATTAACTTTATTCTGTGGGCTTTATACTCACTACCATGAATTGAATTCATGGATATTTGCATTTTCAATGACTATTGCATTTAGTGCAATAGTTTTAGAAATTCTCTAAATCCTGATGGTTAGTCATGCTTCAAAAAGATATATTAGAATGCTATATACAATTACTGTCTTCTTAAATTCTCAGAAAAATACTGTATGCACACAGATAGCACATTATGTCATGCCCCCTATGTATGAAATTATATATAACCAAAGAGTTCCAATCCAGTCAAATTAGTGGTTGGTTTAAATGAAAAGACCATTCACATCCACAGGATAAAAATCAAGCATTTCCCATCTCCAAAAGATGAACTGTAAAAGAAATAATTTCATATCATTGATATATTACATTCTGTATGGTCATTGGAAATAGTTTTACTCTTTTGCTCCTGGAACATATTGTTATAAATGAAAATAACTTATTTCTATCTTTCTGTCACTTGGGACTTTAAAAAAATAGGTGAAGTTCCCTTTGGAGGAAGAAATTTTTTTTTATTCCTCCACAGTTCTGTAAATTGAAAATACTGTATTTTTCGGACTATAAGAGGCGTTTTTTTGTCTCCCAAAAGGGGGTAAAAATGCCTGTGCGTCTTACACACTGAATATTGCTGAAGCTCTGTTCACCCACTGACCATTTTTTGGCCTCCACACACTCCTTTTTCAGGCCTTTTAAAATCCATTTTAAAACTTTTTTTCAGCCTGTTTTTGATGCTTCCCTTGGTCCATTTTTGAGGCTTTTTCTGGCCTGTTTTTGAAGCTTTTTTTGAACCATTTTTCCAAAACGAGTGGACTGAAAAAAGCCTCAAAAACAGGCCCCAAAAGCCTAAAAATTGGCCAAGAAAAGCCTCAAAAACAGGCTGAAAAAAGCCTCAAAAATGGGCCACAAAACACCTCAAAAATGGAACAAGAAAAGTCTCAAAAATTAGCCAAAAAAAGCCTCAAAAACATGCCAAAAAAGTATCCAAAATGAGCCCAAAGCCCCCAAAACAGACCAAGAAAGCCTAAAAAAATGGGTAGAAAAAAAAGCAGGGACGTGCAGTCACTAGAGGCAGTGGAGGCGTGGCCTCACCAGTCATGAGGAAAAGGAAATAATTTTAAAGAATTTTTTAAAAATAATTAAAGCCAAGGTAGTTGCTACCAGATTCACAGTGACTTGGAACAGTGCTTAGTGTTAACTATAGGAGGAGGCCAGAGAAATAGGGGCCTCCTGTGCATAAGCAATTTTTCACCTTTTAAGAGTTAAGCAAGGGTTAACAAGCAAAAAATTTCGTATGCAAAGGAGGTACTGTTCTCTCGCCTCCTGTAGAGGGCATTTTTAGAGGCTTTTTAGAGTTCTCTGGGAACAACTAGCTCAGTCTGAATCAGAGCTCTGGCCTTTCAGAAGGGCAGGGCAGGCAGAAGCAAAGTTGAAATTGTCTCTGAAACAGCTGGAAAAGGTGCGTGTGTGGGGAGGGGGGAGGAATTCAAAAAGTTTGATCGGAAGGCAGCAGGGGAAGGGGGGGTATGGCAGAGGAGATGCTTCTGTGTTTGTGTTTGTTTGAGAGTGAGTGAGAGAGGGATCCAATTTCTCTCTGTGTGTGTCTGTTTGAGAGAGGAGGGAGGGAGGGAGGGAGGGAGAGAGGGAGGTTATTTTAGTTGCCTCAGCATTAACTTGGGGAAGGGAAACTCTAATTGTGTTCTCTGAGTCCAGGAAAAAGTTGAGAATATTTGTTCCATTAGTTCCCTCTGGATCAAGCAATGGGAGCCAGAAATTGAGGTTCTAATCTGGCCTGCCAGTCATACATGGCTGATAGACATGTGTGCATTCTGCCCCAAACATCCTCTAGGGAGCTTCCTTGTTCTCTGCATGAGCTGCTCTCTCCTTGACCTGCTACATGTTTCTTGAACCCAGTGGAAACCTTTGTGCATATGAGGATTCTATTTATTCAGACTTTATAATTATGCAAATATTCCAAAGCAAATTTTAGTGAATGGAAATAAGAATTTTCTTCAGACCTTCCTTTTCAACATACGGAAGTATGCAAAATTGTTGCCTGGCCCACAAAGCACTCTATGAACTTAATGTGAATTTTATTAAAGATAAATGGAATGACATTATCAATAGTCAATATGATTTCTTGCTGATCATGAATTTAATATATTTTGTCACATCAAAAATTAGAAGTTAAAATGCAATTATTTTGGGGGAAGATGGAGGATGGAAGGTCACCCAAGGTTTTGAAAACACGTGCAAATCTGTTGCTTTAAACTGTGCATCTCTAAGGAAGCGATTGGAAGTACTTTGGGAGATTGGATGAGGAGCCAAAACATCGTAGTATCATCCATAAAACCATATCAAATATGATTGCAGAGTGTCTTTTTTCTCTATTTTTGCCCTTCTCACTGCCCCATAGCTTTAAGTAAAACTTTGCAGATTATTTTCTTGACGTCCATTAGCATTCTTGGAAAGAGGAATAGCTTAACAGTGAAAGATGTGAATTGGCCAAACAGCTTTATGTATGTCTGTTTCTTTGTTTCAGTTATTACTGGCTTTGAGACTGCCAACAAATATGAAATTAAAAATGCTATGGGGCAAAGGGTCTACTTTGCAGCTGAGGAAAACGACTGTTGCACTTTGAACTGCTGTGGACCATCACGACCATTTACAATGAAAATCATGGACAATATGGGCCGGGAAGTCATAAACCTCATACGACCTTTGCGATGCACCGGTTGCTGCTTTCCTTGCTGTTTACAGGAGGTGAATCACTTGGGTGTTTTGTTTTCCAGGCTGAGAGTCACACTTGGCTTTTGAATTGGATACTAGCTGGGTACTCTAAACCATAGGTAGATACAGGACAAAAACTAAATGTAAATGTTGTATTAAACTGAATGCATTAAAAGGAAGATAGTGTTTATTTATTTTGGGGTTTTTTTTTTGTATTCTCATATTTTAAAAACTTGGTAGCATCTTCTGAAGCGACCTCCAAAACCATATGTCACTCTAGGATTTCAGACAAGAATTATGGGAGTCAGTTGAACAAGAACAAACCTTTTGTTATAAATATATTGTCCTTTTAATGAATTTTGTGTAGTCTTAACTCTTCATCTCTTTTTTCTGTTTTTTTAAAGCTTGAAGTTCAGGCTCCCCTAGGCACACCAGTTGGATATATTAAACAGACCTGGCATCCTTGTTTGCCAAAATTTGTAATACAGAATGAAGCCCGGGAAGATGTACTTAAAATTGTTGGGCCCTGTGTAGTCTGCAGCTGTTGTTCAGATATTGATTTTGAGGTAAATTAAACACTAGAAGTTCATATTCTACTTTTTAAGAAATTAATCATGTTGTGTCTGATATAGGAAACCAGCCTGCCCATTTTATTGCTTGGTACAATGGTTTTTGATGGCATAGGATAAATCTTACAGTTCTTCTATATAGAATTATTACTTGTTTGAGGAAAAACAAGTCACATATAGATTGATTTATATTCAGAAAGTATCTTCTTTTTGATCAAATGGAATGAGGAACAAGAAAAAGTTTAAAGCTTTATGAATGTTAGATTAACTTGTTTTAGAATATCTTATTATTGTTTAATAATATTGTAAAGATTTCCTACAACTATTGAATATTGATTTGATTTCCGAAGATATTTTTGTTTACATTTTTATTATTACCCTATTTTTCTTGCTGACATGAAATAGTGATATCTGCTTCAAGATACTTGAATTTTCTACATTATAATTTTGTTTCCGTATTTTATCCCAAACTAGGTATTATCTTTAGATGAGAACAGTGTTGGAAAAATTTCCAAGCAGTGGACTGGTTTCGTAAGGGAGGCTTTTACAGATGCTGACAACTTTGGAATCCAGTTTCCAATGGATCTTGATGTGAAAATGAAAGCTGTTATGCTTGGAGCTTGCTTCCTTATAGTAAGTATAATATTCTCAGATACTGTATTATTCACTAATTGTATAATTCAATAATAGAATTTTTAATGTAATACAGGGGTGTCAAACTCACGGCATCACATGACGTATCGGACTTTTCTCGTTCGCTAAACTGGGCGTCGGCCTGGCAAACACATGACGTCTCCAGCTCATGGGCTGGAACTTTGACAGCCCTGGTGTAATACATAAATGGAGTTCCTAACAGACTTTACTACAGCAGCTTGAACAGAGTTTCTTTTTGTAACATCAAAAGAATTGCTAAATTCTTTTGTATGCCAGAGAAGGTTATCTGAAGTGTTAAGCTTGAAAGTCAGTTCTAGAAAGAAACTCCCAAATTTCCAAAGCACGCTGGATTAGATAAAATTCTTAAGGCTATGGAATGGACTGCCAAAAGAGTTTCAATTTTAAGGATGGAAGCATCACATGTTGTTGTCTTTTCCACACTTCCCAAACTCGACACCTTTTAGATTAGAAATACTAGAATCTGTTGCCCCAAGAATTCCTCAGAATATGAGGATTGGAGAAATTGTGGTATGTCGGTTTCAATGAATCCCACCATAAGGATTTTTTTCATTAAAAGAAAACTGTTGAATAAAATAGAAGAATGTCTGAATTTTAGCAAGCAATTTACTTAATTGTTCCCTCTTTGTTTTTCTTTTCAATAGGATTTCATGTTTTTTGAACAATCAGGACAAAAGGGACAACAACGTTCTGGAGTCTGGTAACAGAGTACAGTCCTCATTGTAGGAACTTATAGTGAAGTAGTTTCAGCATTTTTATTTTCAGTGGATGTCTCTTATAAGAGATTTTCATTAAACATTCTTTTTCTTTTGGCATTATACAATAATGCCATAATGCTTCTACATAAGTAGGATTTCAAATTACTTTAAAATTATGAAGCTATTTTAGAATTAATTGTTATGTATAACGACACATTGAAATGATTATAAGTGTTTATATTAAATGTGAGGTCTTACCATGCATCCTCAACATTTTTGTCAAATATTGTTAATGTGAATATTATACTTTGTACTGTAACTTGAAGTAATAATCAAATTTATATTTTGTACATATAAAGTAATTTTTTTAAAATAAGGATTTTGAATATTTCTTAAGATAGATCACATTTTCCATTACAGTACAGATTGAATCTGATAGTGTCTGTAAGACTGAGCAGATGTGTATGCATTTTTATCCTTCGTGTGCAGAAATAAAAATAGTGTACCAGGAAGAATATCACTTTTACAACTATTTTGCAAACAGTTGATTGCCACAATGTTGGAGTATGACTATAGTACAGTATTGTAAAACTATGAATGTACTGTACTTTTTGAGTGATCTCTTCCTATTTTTTTAAATGTTTCCTACCCTGATTCTTGTTATAGGATTATGATACATACTAACATTTTTAAAAAAAAAATTACACCAAACGTGTTTTCTTCATCTGATATCAGGAAAGGGTAAACATGATCATACTTGAATACTGGATACCATTCATATAATTTTCAAATTCAGACCTCTTAGACCTAAATTACTCTGTTTCATAAAGTGTAGTTCAAGGATCCTTGGAAAATATCCATGTTAATTTTCATATAGTAAACATTGGTAAATTTAACCCATACTTAGAGTAACAGTATAATAGAGTCAGAAAGGATCCTGGAGGTCCTCTAGAGATGGAGCAGCCAAAACTTCCAGAGGCAAACTGTTCTACTGATTAAGTGTTCTCAGCATCAGGAAATTTAGCTTTAGTTCTAGGTTACTTCTCTTTTTGATACATTTCCAACTGTTACTTCTTGTCTGGCCCTCAGATGCTTTGGAGAATAGATTAATCCTGTCCTTACTGTAGCAGCCCCTTAAATATTAGTAGACTACTATCAAGTCTCTCCTAGTCCTTCTCTTTGTTGGAGTAGTCATACAGTATCCAATTCTTGCAACAGTTCATTGTATGTTTTATCCTTCAGTCCCCTAATCTTATCTGCACTCTTTCTAGAATCTCAACATATTTTTTTTGTATCATGGTTATATAAAACTATTCACAGTCCATTCAACTGAGTCTTACCAGTGCAGTGAAAATATCTTTTGTGGGTTTCCAAAATTTTCAAACATGGGAAGGGGTCCTGAGAGCAAAACATTTACAAAACAGTGATCTAGATCAGATCAGAGCTGAGGTGGCGTAGTGGTTAAATGCAGCACTGCAGGCTACTTCAGCTGACTGCAGTTCTGCAGTTCGGCTGTTCAAATCTCACCGGCTCAGGGTTGACTCAGCCTTCCATCCTTCCGAGGTGGGTAAAATGAGGAGCCGGATTGTTGTTGGGGGCAATATGCTGACTCTGTAAACTGCTTAGAGAGCGCTGAAAGCCCTATGAAGTGGTATATCGGTCTTACTGCTATTGCTATTGCTATTGCTATCCCTATATCAACCTGAAAATAATGGACTAATAAACAACAAAATAGAAGGAAATATTTCTGCCTTTGCCATAAAACCAATATTTTTACTACAGGGAGTCTTTAACTTATAACCAGTTATAAGTTAAAGACTTATTTTAGGACCGCTGGGAATTATGAGGGCTTTGAAAAGGGTGCTCTATTGTCCATAAATACTTCTGGCCATTGTAAAATGTTGCCTCTACTATAGTCACAGGACCACACTTTGGGTGATTGACAACCAGCTCATGCTTATGACCAGTTGCAGTACCACATGACTGAAATTTTTGCCAATTTCCAGCAAAAACACACCCACTTGGAATAATGAGTTCACTTAACAACTGCATGATTTACCTAATTGTAGTGACTTGCTTAACTGTCACAGAAAATATCAGAAAATCACATCTGGTCATATGGGTGCCTCAACTTACAGATGCAATGACCTACGAACAGAATTTCAGTCCCAATTGTATAAGACAGAAGGAGGGAGGGCGTCAGCTCCACAATATGCCAACAACTTTTCCAATTTTGAAATGCTAGACACCTGGATTTCTAGTTTTGTCACCTATATTTGCATTCATGCTAATGTCGTGAACATACTAACAGGATTCACTTGGTTAAATAACTGCATAATTGGTAAGTTTCTGGTTTCAAGAACAATGTTAGCAAAAGACGAATTGCTCCTTAAGAATTAAAAGACCATCAATATAAATAATGCCTACCATGTAAAATAATTAGTCTTACTAATTACTAATCATTCTAATAAATGAAAGTAGAGTCTAGCAAGGATTGATAGGTTTTTTAAAAAAATAAATAAGACCATATTTTTGCTCTGGACACTAAAATTCAATCTAGATTATTTAAGGACTACACACTCTCCCTCTAAATTGTATCCACAATTTGACTGGATAAAACATTGTAAGGAAAATGTAGTTACCTAACTTAATGTTATCAGAGCTGTGATTAAATCCTGGAGCATTCCATTATTAAAGTAATGTGCATTATGCTTCTTAATAACCTATCTTCTAAATGTCTCTCCTTGGTAATCAAAGGAAATCTGGAAAATAATTAACCCTTTGGCAACTCCTGTTCAGGAAAGGTAGGAAAACTCTGTTGCTTAATCAAAAAATTTCTTCCTTTCATTATCTCTTTGTCTTTTGTTACTATTGACAATCTCTTGCTCCCACATATTTTATTTGTTATTATTTATTTACAGATTTATGGGCTCTTCCAATTTTAAGTGAGTGAGTTAGTACCTCTGCCGTCTGTTCTAGCACAATTTTTGCTTCAGGACAGGAATGCCTGTAGAGCAGATGGAAAGTTCCATGTTTTGTAAATATTGTCTTTTTCTCTGTCAATAGCTAAAATCACTCAGAAAAAATGCAGATAGGGACATGTAAGCCTATATTTTTCTTATCACTTAATACATTTTTTGCATACTCTAACAATCTTGAATATCATCTCCCAATGGAGTTGAAACAACTTGTGTGACCATCAAATGTCCTTCAGGATTAAATACTGTTGTTAAAGGCATTAAATATTATTTGTGGTGCATTCCACATACCTTCTCAATTGTTTATTGTTAAGAGTATCCTTCTAGTTAATAAATATAATATGAATAAATTTATTTTTCATAGTTTTAATTTTGGATGTTTAGAAAGCATAAGCCAATTTACTGTACAGGGCCCAGCAGAATTAGCCACTATAAAGGTCACAGTTTACAATAATATATATGAGATTGATTTTTAAATAAAATTATGAGATAGTCACAATTTGCACCAACTAACAATCAAAGCAAGAAAATTCTGATTATTGTGGCTTTTAATTTCATCTGAAAAAAAAATTACATTTATCCTCAAAGACTGGCTCTTTGTTGAAGCCTTGACTACAAAAAAAATTAGTTACACATTTGAAGATCATTCCATTCCTCTCTAAATAAGTTACTGTATATTTCTCTCATGAAATACAACATGTTGCAATATTACAGATATGTTGTCACAAGGATTATTCTCTCCCGTCACATCATAATAAATAAATAAGACTTCCTTTGTAAGCTGGGGACGTGGTGGCTCAGTGGCTAAGACGCTGAGCTTGTCAATCAGAAAGGTTGGCAGTTCAATGGTTCGAATCCCTAGCACCGCGTAATGGACTCCACTCCTGTTACTTGTTCCAACTTCTGCCAACCGGGTCATTCCAAAGCATGTAAAAATGCAAGTAGAAAAATAGGGACCACCTTTGGTGGGAAGATAACAGCATTCTGTGTGCCTTTGGCATTCAGTCATGCCGGCCACATGACCATGGAGGCGTCTTCGGACAGTGCTGGCTGTTCGGCTTTGAAATAGAGATGAGCACCACCCCCTAGAGTCGGGAATGGCTAGCATACATGTGCAAAGGGAACTTTTACCTTTACTTTTACCTTGGAAGCTATCAAAAGTGTAATTACTTCAACCTGCAGAAGGCACTGACCTATCCCAAGGAATACTCCTTTTAAGAACTGCTTCAATTCTTTTTCCCACAAGATTTCCTGGGTCATATCATATCTGTCAATCTACAGATCAACAATAAATGCTATTTTCTGTCACGTTACCAGTTAGTTTGCACATAATATTACACAGCATGATGATGTGGAGATGTGATGTGAAACTAGCAGCCTTTAGCAATAAAAATATCACAAAAACCATATTATTTGCTTATTTAAAAGATTTAAAAGATGTATATACACTTCCCTTTTAAAATCTGCACTTTTAAAATCTACACTTCCCTTTTAAAATCTACACTTCCCTTTTAAAATCTTTCATTAATTCTGCTAAAATTCAATTTCACAGAAGACGTGGGCTACAAGCAAGCCCTCTATGCCAGCGATGGTGAACCTTTTTTGGCTCATGTGCCATAAGCAGGGGGAGTGCAGGGGGGAATCGTGCGTGGGCATGCTGCATACATAATGCAATGCATGATCCCCCAAGTGTGCATGTGCGCATGTCAAGCGCCACCACCCCCATTTTTTGCATGCTTTTTTCACTTTCCCCAGGCTCCAGAGTGGTTTAGTGGTTTTTCAACTTGTATGCTGCCCTATTCCCAAAGGGACTCAGGGCGGCTGATAAACCAGAAGGGAAGGGGCACAAATACAAAAAGAGTAAAAACAGAGACAAACAGCAATACAAAACAATTTAAAAAGTCACAACAGGGACAACCAATTCGAGTGGGGGTGGAACTCAACTGCCCCAGGCCTGCTGGAACAGCCAGGTCTTAACGGCTTTACGGAAAGCCTGAAGGGTGGCGAGGGTCCGAATCTCCATGGGAGATCGTTCCAGAGGGCTGGAGCAGCCACAGAGAAGGCCCTCCTCCGGGTGGTCGACAGCCGGCATTGGCCGGCAGATGGAATTCGGAGGAGGCCTAATCTGTGGGATCTAATGGGTCTATGGGAGGTGATTGGCAGAAGGCGGTTTCTCAAGTACCCAGGTCCAATACCATGTAGGGCTTTATAAGTGACGACTAGTACCTTGAAGCGTATCCGGAGACCAATAGGCAGCCAGTGCAGCTCGCGGAGGATAGATGTAACATGGGTGTACCGAGGCGCACCCATGATTGCTCACGCGGCTGCATTCTGGACAAGCTGAAGTCTCCGAACACTCTTCAAGGGCTGCCCCATGTAGAGTGCATTGCAGTAGTCC